TGTGAAACCATGAACCTTTTGTCTTTTAGCAATAATTGTCAACCAAATTAGGGCCAATCTGGAAAAGCGCAAGTTGAAAAACCTAAATATTAGCTTAAGTGTCATTAACATGTAAAATGTCAGTTAAGTTATACATCTGATACAGACAAAAAAGAGGGCTAAACCAAAAAAGACCTTTGAGCGTTACTGGTTCACTTATGAGCTATCCCTTAACAGCTATAAAGGATTGTTTCCCAACTGGAATAACGGGACTGCCTGTCACCACTGAGCGCTTTGGAAGGGAGAAAATACTATGAATTAAGTCATTTCTTGAGAGTTTCTAGAGACAACTCACTTAAGTTGTATAATAAGGCTGAATAAATTATGGCACTTTTAAAAGGCATGTTATTGCAGTAACAATTAGATTTTTGGGGTTATTTAATATTTTAATGTTTACTTCATGCAATGGTAATGCATAATGGTAAAAATAAACATTTTTTAAAATGCATTTAGAACATGTAAATGTAATAGCTTAGCTAGGCAAAATTGTATTTGTTGCCTAGCTAAACTATTCGTACTTTATTTTTAGTTATAATTGAACAATACATTTTCGACATAGACCTGTCATATATTATTTTACCTGTTTCCATACAGACATATTTATTTGGGATCCTGTGGCTTCTTCATGGCCAGGGAATTCTACCGGGTACCACCTTGTTTTTAAGTGTTATTTTTTTCTGTATCAACTCACAGTAAGCTCTCACACTGTATAATAAGCCGACTGTTTGTGTAGTGAGTCTTTGCCATCCTTTCAGCACGAACCTGGCCTGTAGCTCACATAGTGAGCTATTCATATCTTTGTATAGCCAAAATTAAAATCTTTAACTGCTCCATGTGCTCAGACTGTGTCTGCATGTGGGCCAAACACCTTAAAACCATGACACATTCTCTTCTGTTCACCTGTCATAATGTTTACCATACAGACACAGCCAGAAAATATTCAGAAATCAAGTCAAGTCAATTTAAGTCAGCTTTTATTGTCACTTTCTTTATATGTACAAGACATACAAGGGGAATGAAATTACGTTTACTCTCTCGAATATACAAATACACAAGAAATATACAAGACTGACAAATAGAAACTTTGTTGTTATAAATACATCTTGATACCTGTGGAACATTTGGAATTTAAATCAAATACATAAAGAATGCTTATTCTTACCACCACAGAAATGAATTGTGTGATACAACTCATGGATTTTTTTATTACCTTCAGTTAAAGAGGTATTTAAATGGTTTCTACTGTAAAATAGTTTTTTTTTTCTTTTGCCTTGTTTTGAAATTTTAATATAATTCCTAATCCTTGTTTTTTTTTTACACAATTCATTACAGATAATCTGCATAATCGACAGGCAGTCTGCATTACTATAAGCACTACTGGCATTGATAACTGGTTTAATTACTCATTCCGTTGACCTGTGTATCTCTGTCCAGTTTCTCATCGCTGCTGTTCTAATGCACTTGCTCCTACCAATATATTTAAAGTGCTTGCTTCAAGTCATCAGGGCCAGATTATTCTTGTTCTGTCATGCCAGTGGGAAGAGTGTTTTTTACTTAGTTTTTCTGATTACCTGATCCTGACATGGATTGCCTCTCAACCACGGGGCCTGCCTGTTCCTGTACTTATCTGTTTGCCTGACCTGGCTTCGGACTCCTGGACCTCTGGGCTTGCCTGTTCTGATCTGTTTGTCTGACCTGGCTTCGGACTTCTGGACCTCTGGGCTTGCCTGTTCTGATCTGTTTGTCTCACCTGGCTTTGGACTACTGAACCTCTGAGCCTGCCTTTTCTGATCTGTTTCCCAGATCTGGCTTTGGACTCCTGGACCTCTGAGCCTGCTTGTTCCTCTTCTGATCTGTTTGCCTGGCCTGGCTTCGGACTCCTGGACCTCTGAGCCTGCCTGTTCCTGTTCTGATCAATTTGCCGGACCTGTCTTCGGACTCCTGCTTGTTCTCCAGGGCCGCAGCATCTTGGACACTCTGGGCGCCTAACTTGTTGGAAGCCCCCCGGCTGGATCCTACCTTGTTCTGTTGGCATGGACTGAACTTGTAAACCAGGTTGGGACTCATGTTCATAATCATATTCGGTTAGATTTACGTGGTCACTAATCTGTGTTTCCTGCCTCAAATGCGCTAGATGCTGCAACTACAGATAAGATCAGAATGCTTTTTGAGTAACCCCAATGTCTGTCTTGCCTGAATACTGGGTCCCTCTGTTTTGAGTAATGACAGTATAAGGGTTACTTTTCATGTTTAAAAATGAAATTCAGCACTCCCCAAGTGGCATAGAAGCATGCATGATTCTTTTTTATGTAAAAAATGTCATCAGCATAACCCATCCATATATTTCACATTAGGGATGGCTTTTTCAGTTCTGGAAGCTTTTCAATTTTTTCTTTCATATACCTGTATATACTCATTGAGTTTTAGGTTCTTCAGACCACAGGGTATGTCTACAAAAAAGTAAGTTCTTCCATGTGTATATTTGCTGTGTAGATGGTATAAATTAATTTGGCTGGCCAGGCTGGTATGTTTATTAACTTGGATCTTTTTAATTTTGCCATTGAGGAATGAACTGCCTCTTTTTGAATTGTTTCTCATCTTATAAATACAGGAATTATAATTAACTTCAGCCAGCATCTTTACAATGTTGTTTGCTTTTGATTTGGGGTTTATACATACAATTTGCACCACAACAAGTTAATCTCAGGGACACAAAATTGGTCTTCTTCCTAAGCAGTATGATGGCTGAACATTCCTCTGCTGTTTAGAAAGACCAAAATGGAACATTAATGCAGCTACATATTGTACCCAAGACTGATTTAGACTTTAATTAATCAAAAAACCTCATTCAAAAGTTATTTGTTTAATTTTTGTATCCTTTTTATTGTAGATATAATGAAGGTGTCAATAATCATGTTGCGTGATTTATCAAAATATATGTATACAACAATTAACAAAAAACATCTTTAAAAATTATCTTTTTAAACCATACAAAAAAAGTCCAGATAAATTCAGAATTAAATCAAATATAATTCTAAAATACCTTGGAAGTAAATTACCTTCCACATGTACAGAGACAATAACACATAAGAGTAAAAATATACAAACTTTCAATAGTGAGTTCTTTTCAGTGGTTTAAATGATACATAATTTAGTATTATTGAAAAACTTGAGAAGAGCCAATCAAAAAGTGCTATGAGACAAAAATACTATTGTAAAATACATTGTAAAGCTAATTTCTGGTTGGGAGAAACGAGCCAACAAAGAAATTTGGAAAATCAATTTTCAAACATTTACTACTGGAGAAAAACAAAAAACAAAAAAAAAAAAACATTTGGAACAAAAAGAAATTCAGAATACTGAAGTAAAAAGAGAAACATTTAAAAACAAAACTCAGAACACAATAGACCAATATATACATCAATAATGCAGTGTAAAAAAAACAAAAAACGGGAGTTGTGTTTTAGTCTTTGATGTATGAATTTGTTTAAACATACAAATTGTTACACATTTCTTTAAATTATGCGGGTTACATTTTCTATAGTATGGATTAACTGTAAGCCTACACTCAGAACAAGTATATTTTGTGTTATTTAAGAACAGAGGCCATAAAAGTAATAGCAGTGTAGATTTTAGGTCAACCTGAAAAGTAGGATGCAATAAAAATAGACTACCAATCAGCATCCAGCAGAAGACCTTCACAGACAGAATTTCTCTTTTTTTCCTACAACAGGCTTTTAATTATTATTTTTTTTGTATAGTAAATATTGTGGAAGCTTATATTTGTGATTGCCATCATATCACAAAACAACATTCACTCAAACTCATGCAGTAATTGAAAAATATATTCCAATAGAATGAATGTCATTTAATTGTTTTATGTCTTGTGCTTTGTTTCAGCATTAGCCAATTTTGGAAGTCAAATAAATAAATACAAATGGAGATAGTATAGAGAAGGTAACCAATATATTAATAAATCTACAGTATGTATTATCTGCACCAAAATTACTGTTTTGATAACTGTAGTTCTCAGCAAGGTCTCCTTGCGGAATTTGCCCTTTATTTGCTGTATTGTGAATCAGCTGAACAGTTTTGTTTTAGGTTACCCTATAATCAGTCTGTGATTAAATCTGTGAACAGCCTGTAGACCAGTTTTTCCACAGTTTCAGGTGTCAGAGCTGGGCCGCTCTGCTGGAACACACTGAAGGTTTGTGTTAAAGTACTGAAAATCTGGTTTGAACATTTCTGCTTTTATCTTTATGTTTGCTTTACTTACTTTACTTTAAGTTTTACATAGTCTTATAAAAAAAATTAAGCATCAATTTGAATTTAAATAGCATAAAAATATTGATATCATGGAGTTTCATAATTGCAAATTCTAAATTTTGTTGATTTCTCAATACTTTAAGACCCAACCAAATAACTGATTAAACACTAATATATTAAACACTAATGAAAAGGATGAGTAGCTCTAAGGGGCTTTATATCGTTGTATAAGGTAGGATTATTTTCACCCTTTAATGTTGTTGTTTGCAAAAGATATCTGAGATATGCCGGTGAAGATTCTTAGTCATCCAGGTCATAGTCATTCAAAAAAAGTGAAAAACAAACCACTGGACTTAGCTTTCCAAGTTTGAAGACGTTTCACTTCCCATTCAGAAAGCTTTTTCAATTCAAAATGATTGGATTAGAATTGAGTTCCAAGCTTTATAGAATAGCCCAACAAAGCCTTGTTATGGCTTGGAAAACGTGCAAATTGAACCGTAAAAACAGGTAATGGGGAGTCATTGAGGTCTTTGTTATCCTGCAATACCTGATACTGGCCTGTGCCTCTGAAAAGGCGAGATGTTTTGGTCCCCTAGATTTATGCAGCAGAACAATAATATTATATATCATCATAGGATCGTAACTATTTGTTGGTAAGCCTAAAAATACTAAAAACATTTTGCTTTCTTTTTTTAATAACATGTTTGTTTTGACTGGAGGCAATTGTGATGTGGATCAATCAGTCCAAGTCACAACTGGAATCTCATTGACAATCTTTGGAGGAAGCTAAAGACTGGCTTAGAATGATATCAAAGGGCCACAGTCCTACCACATTTTAATATGTCCTTTGTCCAATTTATTTCCGTACTGTGCTTCCATAAGTCAAGTTCTAATATCCTGAATTATCGATTTAATCATGTTTAAATTGAAACCAAAATTTCCCAGACACAAGCCCTCATAAATAGTTTGACACCTAGTTTTACGAGACTGTGAGCAATGAGTCATAACATTTTAAAGACTTAAAGTTCACATTTAAGAAAATGTATATAAACACTGATCAATAATCATTATTACACTTAATCTTAATTGTAAAATCTGAATAATCCAGGAGCTAGCTAGCTTCACAGACAGACAGACAGACAGACAGACAGACAGACAGACAGACAGACAGACAGACAGACAGACAGACAGACAGACAGACAGACAGACAGACAGATAGATAGATAGATAGATAGATAGATAGATAGATAGATAGATAGATAGATAGATAGATAGATAGATAGATAGATAGATAGATAGATCAAACTATAGATGACCTCAGAATTTGGCCCTCTGTACTGTTTGGATGCTCTACTGTACGAAGTGTGGACAAGTCTGTAAACGAGCGAAATGCTTCAGGGTTTGATTCTTTCTTTACTGTTTCAGGTGGTACAACCTTCACTGGAGTGCAGAGATGTTTCAGCCTCTGTATTGAGAAAAACAGCAGAATGCAATTTCAATATTTGATTTGGTAATTTATAACAAAAACAAATAATGACAACAGATGCAATATTGGAATTGCCTTCCCTATTAAATATGGAGCAAATATTGAAAAATAAATTATAGAAAAAGTTTTCTCTATAAAGCAAGGGATGAATGTGTTTACCAGTTATTTGTTAAGTAGCAAAATAAATGATTTTTAGCATCAAACACTCTACAGTGTTTTTGTGTAAATATATTTACCTGCTTAAGTGTTCCTGGAGTGACAATTACAACATACAGCATCCAAAGTGGAACAAGCAACGTCGAAGAAAGAGTGAAGAATAGTCCCAAGGCGTATCCCCACCATGGGTATTCATACGTGTTGTTAAATTTTAGAGGCTTATGTTTGATCACAGAGAACAGAAACGTGAACTAAAAAAGGAAAAAAACAAAAACAGGAGGCAGAAAGAAAATGCTTGTCAATTTAGGACGCCATCTGAGAGCTTAAAAACTCTTGGTCAGTTCTATACATCAAAAAAGTGTAAAAATTGTTGAACCACCATAGTATCCTCACTTTAAAAAGACAGCTGAAAGTATAGGACAAAAGCTGTTTTTATACACGTACTCCATAATAAACACTTTCAAGAGAGCAGCATATTTTGCCATACAAGATATAAAATAAAAATTTTTGGGGAACTAAACATGCTGTAGTTTAAGAAGATATTTATACTGCACCCATACAGCATGTATGGTTTGAATATAAATATGGAAATCTAAAACATGAAGTATTACATGATAAGCTACATGTTCTGCTGTACATTCTGATGATTTCGAGGCTTCACATTTTTCTGAAAGGTAGGTTTTTAAATAGGGCTTTCTGCAGAAAGGGACACACTTTAAAGTCAAGTTCTATGTAGTCAGTGATAGACCTTCATATTGCCTTTATACAGGAACGTGTACAAGGGGAAGCCAAAGTCAAAGGTCAAACCTTTAACACTTTTTTGCTTTTATTATTTGTTACGTTTAACTGAAACTAATACTAACCACTTGCAAAACTGAGGAACATGCTTTGCATCTTATTTTTGTTATCAAAAATATCCAGGTTTTTCATCATAAGTATATCTTTGCTGGAGGGACTGTATCGGCGCCTCCTGTTGTCTTAGCAAATGAGTGCTGCAGAGAGACAAGCTGAGAAACTGCAAGTGTCGTGTGACAGTATGATCATAATGTAGAAAAGGAATGTTCTAGGCCAGGGGTCGGCAACCTGCGGCTCCAGAGCCGCATGTGGCTCTTTAGCGCCCCCCATTGCGGCTCCCTGGAGCTTTTCCAAAAATTTATGAAAATTCTTTTTTTTTGGTTTGTTTATTTTAATTTGGTGTGCAGGAGGTCAAACAGACATTTATTATGTTTTCCAATGCTGTAACCATTTATATATTTGTTACGGCTGCAGGGGGTCTCTGCTTTTTCTTTCAGGGTCCTGGAGGCAGGCCTTCTGCAGGTGTTATGATTTTTCCCCTGATTGGTGCTCTGCTGCTTAAAAGCTGTCATGCTGCAGCAGTCAGGAGGCTTTTTTTCCTCCTCTCCCTCTTCAGAACTCCAGTTGGTTTGGTTTGGTTTGGACTTTATGATTGAGTTTTGTTAGGTTTGTTTTGCGTTTGTTTATTTCTAATTGGTTATGGGCTTTGTATTAATCTGTTTTGGCTTCTTATTTCAGGTAATCCTTTTTTAGGTTTTACTTGATATAATTTAATAAATTTCCTTTTTCATCAACTCTGAAAATCCTTGTGTGGTCTCCATTAATGTTACCCCACCTAACAAGCCAGGTGGATGTAACATATTAAATAAACTAAAACAATATATGTAAACAAGAACAATTAAGAAATGGATTGCATCTCCAAACTCCACTACTGCTGCCTAGTTTTGTTTCAAGCATGAAAAAAACATCCACATATCAAACAGGTAGTGTTCTGATGCAGGTATGTGAATTTTTTTTCAATATTTTCCCCCCAAATCCTCAAAATAAAAATTACACCAAGGAACGCTGGTGACGGAGGTTTTGAGATTTCAGGGTTAGTGAGCTCTGCTCTGATGGATTTCAGTTCCTGTTTGTTTCCTCATGACTCAATCAACTCCTCCCAACAGAAACCCATCGACCATAGAAAGATTCCTTTATTGTGTTTCTATAATTTCATCAACGCAACAAAACTTAAACAGTGTTGCGAAGGGTGGTGTAGCGGCACACGATGAATTCCATGCGGTGAGAGCGTTCACTGCTCATCCCTCACCTCATGCTACTATGTGGCATTTTCTCCAGGATTAACATTTAATCATGGATGCTGATTATATATTTAAGCCCACGTAGTCCTTATTTTATAGTGGTCTAATACACTTAGAGCCCATGTTGCCATACAAGGCTTTTATATAGGGTTGGGAATTGATAAGATTTTCACGATTCCGATTCCGTTACCGATTCTGTGAAACAATTCAATTCCTTATCGATTCTCTTATCAATTCCGTGAAACAATGTACTTGGTAAGTGCACAGTGACATTCGTCTACCTTCGACTGGGACATTCTCTTTCTGCCTGCCTCAGCGAAAAACAGAAGGCAGTGAACAGGAGCTGCCAGCCTCTGAGCCAGCCAGGCTACCCTTCTTGTCACAGTCATCTAAATCTAATGGAGAAGGCATCCGTTTAATGAAAAGGAATTACTGTACAATTTCGGGAAATAAACTCATCTCATCTTTGTAGCACGTTTGATAACCCCAAAGAGAGGTAGAAAATTTGTTTATTTCCAGAAATGGCATATAATTTACTAGGAACCACATTAAGCACAGCCAGTGATATAAAACTAGCTACTTACCACCAGAGTTGTCTTCCATGCTGGTTGTAATTTTAGCTTATGTCCGGAAGCATCAAAAACACGGCACTCGTTAAAATATATGCCATGTTGTATGTGCAGGTGTTTCTGCATGTTGGATGTATTTTCTCCCACAGATGTAATTGCCACTTTGCAAAGATTGCAAAGCGCCTTGTTGCCATCATTCTCTTCCTTTAAAATGAAGCCAAACTTTCTATCGCTTTACCAGATGGGACGCCATTTTTTTTTTTGCTTTTCTAGACTTATGCCTGGTCACGTCGTACTTGCTTACTGAATGTCATGTGCGTAACTTGTGTAAAAAACGTGACGTAAGTCGTGCTGCCCAGTGATAGGCCGTTTTTCTCTAAATATGTGTACTTGTGCATTCTCATGTGCTCGTGTACTCGTGAAACGTCATCAACCACAGCCCCAGTACTGTTCCAATATACAAGAACAGCAGTCTGAGTACAGACAAAAGTCCCTGGATGTTTTTTCCTTGCCCCTACCTATTTACGGAGTATGTATCAGAGCAGACTTGTCCGTTCTTGAGATTGACAGCTGTCCCAGCATGCACTGTTGCAGCAGCAGTTTTCAATGGAGCGCTCCATTGAAAGTTAAAAGTTCTCTTTTCTGTTGCTGTTGTTCAATAAAGGTACGGTTTAAGGTCATTTGAGGTGAGAATGTTATACTTTAAAGCATCACTATATGGTCAATTTACCGCTTTAATGCGTAATTTTAGAAAAAAAATTCTGAAGTTGCGAGGACCGTGGCAACCAGCGGAGCTCCGAGGGTAACGGCAGCCATGGCTAATTGCAGCTTGTCTGCAGCTGCCCTCGCTCGGCATAGCCGTGTGTGAAGAAACGCTGGCTCTGATGGTGATTTTTTTGTTTTATTTGGCAAAATGTTAATTTAATTTGTGTTTATCTGACTCTGTTCATTTTTATTCCCTGAATAAATGAAAAAAAGTCATAATTTATTATCTTCTGGAGACTATTAATAACAGGAGGTGAAATGCAGCTCTAGATGAGCCAGGCATGTCACTGCATGAAAAGTGGGATTTTCGTCAATATGCGGCACTGTAGATTGTCGTGGAACTTCAGGTTAGCGACAGTTTACGGCAATTTGCAGGCTTCGCCGAAAACTCCTGTAAATTGTCAGAAATTGACGTGGACATGGCGCATCATCCTGTTGGAAGTAGCCATCAGAAGATTGGTACACTGTGGTCATAAGGTCCGGCCAGGTCAAGATCCGCAATTGCAATCGTACCAAACAGGAAAAAGAACATCGACAAATTCCGGTTCGTCAAATTAAAATATAGCAGCAACAGATCGGTGACTAGACATGATAGCACAATTCTTATATATATAAAAAAAAAAACTAACACCGTTTATTTAAATGATTGGATCCAAACTATTGGTTATTCACCGACGAGGAAGCAGATTTCTCATCTCCATCAAAATATTTATTTTATACCGAGGGACTTAAACTTTAATCAAATCCATTCAAAAGAAACTTCTTATTACAGGAATGAAAAGAGATGCTGAGTTTGGGAGTAGAGAACAAGTTCATTCAAAAAAAGCAGTTTTGAATTATCCTTATCCCCGTTACAAAAATCTACAAAAATATATATATATATTTGGGCAGAAACTGAACATATGCTGGATGATGGTGGGATTTTTTTAATATGTCATATTAAGTTAAGCGCTCACAGGGTTCATACAGGAATGAGTGACTAATTTAATGCTATTTTAATGCTATTAGAAATTATTTTAATGCCATCAACAAGAACCATGTACACAAGTTATTAGTGTAAATGAAATATGAAGGAGCTGCAAGCACAGTTCCATGACTCCTGTATGTATGTAAACACACACACACACACACACACACACATATATACGTATATATATATATCCTCTAGCTTTATAGTGATATAATATATCTGACGAAATTATTTTTATAAGCATTTTTTATTAAAGAATTATAAATACTTTGATAAACATATTTAAATAATTTTAGTGCCAATTAAGGCCTTGATTAAAAAAAAATGAATGAATTATGATGTCCCGCTAAGTAGAACAGAAATAAAAGTAATTATTAAAGATAAAATAAATAAGGTATGGCAGAAGAGATGGAATTTAGAAGAAAAAGGAAGACATTTATATAAAATACATAAAGATATTAGCATAAGATATAACAGTATAATGAGTAGAAGAGAGGAAATATCGATAAACAGGTTAAGGATTGGGCATACCAGTTTAAATGCAGGTCTAAAAATAATAGGGAAACATCCAACGGGTAATTGTTGTTATTGTGGAGAAATCGAAGGAGTAGAACATGTGTTGATCTATTGTAGCAAATATATAAAAGAGAGGAAAGAACTGGAAAGGGTAATGGGAAGTTCAGTAAAGATGGCTGATTTATTAGGGAAGCATCAATCAGATAAGATAATTAAAGCACTTATTAAATATTTAAAAGATACAGATTTAGCTGGGAGAATTTAGTGTGTGTATGTGCGTGTGTGTAAGCATAGACAGAATTTAGTTTCATGAAGATATAAAGATATATAGGCATTATATTTCTGAATTACATCTCCGTCCAGTTGATGGCGGTAATGCAAACAGGATGCAAACTGCCAGAAAACTCAATAGAAGAAGAAAATGAATGAATTGTAATTATTTTTAATGATCCGCGGAAACCCTGGTTCATCTCGCGCATGCTCTCTACGATCTCCAAGAAACTCAGAGCGTAGCGGTCTGGAGCCACAACGGCGGATGGATGCTTTGCTTTGTGCAGGCAGTCTGGAGCGGAGTATGTGGGATTTCGGGGTAAAACTCCTTCGATGGCGACTCTGCAGTCGAACAAGACGAACTCAAAGAAGAGATGCTAGCGGTAAATATATGTTCGATTACTGCCTGCTAAGCTAAAAGTAGTCTAGCCTAAGCTACGGCTAATAGCAGCCTAGCCTAAAACTACGGCTAATAGCAGCCTAGCCTAAAGCTACGGCTAATAGCAGCCTAGCCTAAAGCTACGGCTAATAGCAGCCTAGCCTAAAGCTACGGCTAATAACAGCCTAGCCTAAAGCTACGGCTAATAGTAGCCTTGCAAGAACAAGCTTTATTAAAGTGTATTTTTTGTGATTCATAGGAAGCAGTACGCCGTCTTCACAACTCGGAGACTAATTGCAGGGGCTATGAACCGGAGCAAGGGTAAGATTTAAAGAATATGCTTTCATTCTGCGGTAAAAGGAAATGGATACGGATAGATACCGATCATAGCTGTACATTTTGTTTTCACAGACAACTGTCGCCTCACAATGAGGCGGTGACCTCCTATTTTCTCGGAGCCATATCAGCAAATCCAGATTTGCACGATGTTGATAAAGACGACATTGTGTGTACGTGACTTGTTTTAATGTTTTCTCCTTCCTTGTTACTGTGACTTGCGTTTGATTTTTTATTCATACCACTCTCATTTAATTGTTTTCCAGCTGCCTGTAAGACGTATTTTGAGACGGTACGCAAGAGCTTCAGATATACGCAGCCAGCCAACACGTTGTGTGCGGAGGCTGCCAAGTAATCTGCTCAGAGTCGGGCCAGAAGAAAGAGGGTAAGACTTTATTTGGTGACTATTTTTCAGGTGCATTGATAGATGTGTTGTGTCCATACGCAGTGCGCTGATTCATTGTTTTTTTTTCAGCTGCTGAAAGCGAGGCAGAGTGTGCTAGCAGATGAGGAAGTGGAACTCTGGAAGTCCGCCACCGTCGACCTCATGTCCGACGAAGAAGATGGCGTCGTTGGCGGTGTCTCTGGATGGATTGTACGGTCGCCGCCATTTCGTAGGCCGGATCTCACTGAACTATGTGTTAAGCTGCAGTCCCGGTTAGAAGCGATGCCGAAGTACAGGGCCACGCACAGTAGGCGTCTGCACATTGGACCTGCCTCGGAGGGAATGCTGCCAGTTACCTCCAACCCCGAGGAAGCAAACGGACCGTTCACGGACTTGTAATTTTTAGATACGCATGTGTTTGGATACCCGTTGTATATAGTTGTGTGTGTTTTAATAAAGCTCTTTCTTTGCATAAACAGCTTCCTGGCAAATGTTCATTTCCTGTATAAATTCAATAGCGATTTCACTTGTTTGAGAATAGTGGTTTCAGCCAATACTGAGTAGGTTATTCAAGCCAGACCTGGCCAGCCGCGCGGGTTTGCTGCATTCATATGCTAATTAGGGCCATTAGTACAGCTGATCGCTCTCCACATACGTCAGAGTCCGTTTCCGACAATTTGTGGCACGACAAATGCGGACAAGCACGGGTTGCAAATTGTCGGAAACTGACGAAAATCAGGGAGATCTGCGGGAGTTTACGGGGACGAAAATCTCACTTTTCATGCAGTGTGTGGTTACGTCCCGAGTATGCTTCTGTTCCAACTGACCCATATTTATGCTGCATGCTCCCATTCTCACCAAGTCCATACTTTTCTGTGTTCTTCTTAAGAACATACTTGGTGAGGACACAAGTCTGTACTCGCGTTTTAGTGAATTGAGAAACGGCCCTAGGCTCTGGTGCTGCCTGGAACCATTAAGAGAACCGTTAAGCGAGTTGCCAAACGGTGCCATGGAATTGGAATACGCATTCCCATCCCTACTTTTATAAGACTTACGTTTTTGCGGCTCCAGACAGAGTTGTTTTTTGTATTTTTTGTACAATATGGCTCTTTGAGCAGTTTGGGTTGCTGACCCCTGTTCCAGGCCACAAACAATAAAACAGTTTGGTAGTAAGAAGGAAGTCAAACCTGGTTTTAGTAAGTTTTACATACTTAAATTACTAGTATGTTTATATAAAAATGTTGTATCTTAAATATTTCTTCTTACAAGGACATAATGTGTGACATCTACTAAATTAAAAGGCTTGAATAGTTCTGTCGCAATGACTTCAGTAAGGTTATGATCTACTTGTATGTAACCCGCTATCAACTCTATTAGCATGTTAAAGCTTGTAGGCACAGAAGATTAATTGATGCCACATATAACATTATCAACACTTACAGTACAGATAGCTGGTGTGAAGTATTTCCAGCAATATTTCATGAAAGACCAGGGGCGATAACCAATCATATCCTGTATATTATCGTAGTGTTGTTCTGCACCTAAAATAATGAATCATTTTTTATTTTGATTACATGTAGTTAAATGCATAGAGGCATTACAAAACTAGATTAAAATACATAAAATATATCACATACCATAAACCCATCCAATACAGACGGACTGAAGAATAGCAAAAAATAAAAGTGTCATCCCACTGCAGGCATAGTAGTCAAACAGCTGGAAAACGTAAAGGCCTCCCTGCAAAACAAAGCAAATACTTCACTGGAAAAATTTAAGCAATTATGATTATTATCATTATTAGTAGGGCTGCATGGTGCAACACTTTGTAGCATTGCTGCCTTACAGCAAGAATGTGCCAGCTTGGATTCCGGCCCCGGGGGCCTTTCTGAATAGAGTTTGCAGCCTCTCCCCGTGCATGCATGGGTTCTTTCTTGGTATTCTGGCTTGCTCCCACAGTCTGAAAAATGTGACTGCTAATTAGCATCGCTAAATTGTCCTTAAGTGTGACTTTATTTGTGTGGGTGTGCATGGTTGTGTGTCTTTGTGTTTCCCTGCGACAGACCGACTACCTGTCCAGGGTAAACCCAGCCTCTCTCCCACAGGCTGCCAGAGATAAGCACCGGCCCCACTATAACCCTGACGGAATATATGGGAGAGGATGGATGAATATTATTATTAATTTCTATATTTACCCCTCCAAGGGTATATCTATCCATTAATTTCTTCAGAAACAAAGATCCTGTAACTTTAAACATACTTAATCAATTGGAGCATTGTTGCATCATCACTATCATTGCATAATCATTTGGAACATTACAGTCCTGCATGAAAGTCCCAGAAAATGACACATAATTTACTGATGGATGGATGGATGGATGGATGGATGGATGGATGGATGGACGGACGGACGGACGGACGGACGGACGGGCGGACGGACGGACGGACGGACGGACAGGCATAAGAATACACATTCTTAATTGTGGTTAAAAAAAACTTACCTCAGTTACCATCACCAGACCAACCAGGATACCGCCTGCACAAATGCCGAAAAGTAGAAGTCTACGTCGACGGGTTTTTTGAAAGAAGGAGGGAAACATGTCGGAGATGGTTGTAACCAAGGACTCCACATACACAAACTGTTATGGAAAGAGATATTTATTTTTGGTGGGATTATAACTTAGAATGATTTTGTGTGCCAACATCTATTTTGTAGTGTTTCCTACCTCACTATCTAATCCCAAGAAGACGATCATAACAAAGAAGAATATTGCCCAAAGCTGAGGTAGGGGCATTAATGCCACAGCTCGAGGATAAGCAATAAATGCCAAGCCTGGACCTGTAAGATTATATCAGATTAGTTCTCACAGATGGAGCACAACAGTATTACACTGCAACTGTTTAAACATGAATCATCAACTTTCAATACCTGATTCAGCTACCATTGAAATTTCCACATTCTGCTCTTTTGCCATGAAACCAAGAACAGAGAAAATTGCGAAGCCAGCTACAAAGCTGGTTAAGCTGTTTAAGAGGCATAGGTAAATACAGTCCCTGTTTGAAAGAAAGACAAATATCAAGAAAATACGTTACTGAACACTGTCATAAGAGTTGAGTATAAGTAGTGAGGGAAAAAACATGCACAAATACCTGTAACAGTTGTTGCTGTATTTGTTGTAACTTCCCAAAGATGTCAGAACACCTGTGCAAACTCCATAGGAGTAGAAAATCTGGCTGCCTGCATCCATCCATACCTGGAAATATAAATTATGTGATTATAGTTTTTGAACCTGAATGTACAACACTCATATTATTTATATTTGAAAATGTTTACTCAACCCTGTAAAAATGCCAAAAGAAATAATCTTAGAAAAATGTCCACCTTCTCTGTGCCCAGTACCCTGTATAGCTCCAACGGAAACAAACTGAAATCTTCCAAGTGGAAAAATACAGAACAAAATGACTGAATAAGTTGATATGATTGCACAAGAGCACACACCCTCTTATAGATGGAAATTAATGTTTGTTAAGCATTTGTCACCATACTGAGGCTCATACTATATAAGGGTCAGTGAGAACATACCTGTTGTTAAGGATGAAAAGTATGACTATGATTAACAATAAATAAGGTGTGGACTTTTCCTGATATGTTCTTAGTTGCATCAGACAGCAAAACTGAGAGCTTCCGTGCAAATTTCAAGATAATATATATTTGAAAAAGAAAGTCAAAGGGGCATTACTGTGAACTGGATGTCAATTCCAAATTTAAAAAAAGACAAAAAGAAAATTGGTCCAGGAGTCTATCTGTCTTGTACATATGACAACAAAGACCTGCATTCAGGAAACTGTTCGACATACGAGTTTGCATTGCAGCAAAACATGTAGACTTTTACTAGAAAGTTTATGATCAGAAGGGAATATATTTTTAAGCATGAATACGACTAAAAGCATACATACAAATCCAACAAATAGCTTCACTATGAGACGATAACTAAGATTCTCAGTGGTCAAGCCCAGAGCTATAGCCAATAAAGAACAATGAGGTATTCCAAAGAGAGTTGTGCTGTTATTACCCTGAATATCAAAGATTACATTGGCGTATGAAGCAAGAGTCTGTCCTGAAACCAGAGGGTTGCCAGTTTGATCCCCCACTCCATCCGTCTCAGTTGTTATGTCCTTTAGAAAGACTTCACCCACTTGCCTTCTGACAGTGGTCAGAGTACCCGGAGGTGCCTGTTTACAGTAGCCTTGCTTTTGTCAGTGCGCTACATGACAGCCGTGGCTACAAAAAAACGTATCACAATAAGGGTAAGAATGTGTGAGAGGCTGACTGTAGTGTGAAATATTTTAGAAGGTCTAGACTTGAAAATGTGCTATATCAGTACAGTCCATTTCATTGTAAATTATTGTGACCATCGTATACAACAAATTTCGTAATTTTGTTATTTTTTATTTGTAAAATCTTCCACGGTGCTATCCGTCTTCAAAAAGCTGAACCATTTTTTCCTATATCCTTTTTAACATTCCTATGCAACTTGCACTTCTGCATTACACACTTGACATTTTTTCATCTATGTATTTCAAATACTTGTACACACTGTAAGTAGCACTGTACCATCAAGCCAATTATTTATAGGTGTTAAGCACTTCTTGGAATTAAGCTTTTCCTTGATCGTATTGTAATAAAACTGAAAAGTAGATCCAACAAAGTGTTAGTTTGAGGGTTTGAATACCTATAGTTATGTTATTTAACTTCATTTATTTATTACCTGCGCACTAAGAGAATGTTTAACTCAGTGGTACAAATACTGGGTTATATTAAAGGTGTAAAATCTTCTAAACTTCTTTATCTTGGACCGTAACATTTTTTTTTGGATTATGTGTGATAGACCAACAAAAAGTGGTGCATAACTGTGAAGTGGGTGGTATGATTTACATTATTTAGAAAGGTTTGACAGATAGTCTAAAATCATCGTTGTGTACTAGCATTCAGTCCAATGAACCAATGCATTATAGAAGTAAATACACCAGCAAGGAGTTCGGTATATCTACTTTTCTGCAGGATTTTCTACATATAGTTTCTTAGCAGTCTCTCTCTCACTTCAATAACAAGTAGAGTATCATTTTAATTTGCTTTAAAATATGCTAAACCAAGTATTCGCTGACTATGTCTTAGTAGACAAAAAACTACGTTTTATACATTACCTGTGGGTCAGCGAGGCGGGATGGGTCAGGGTAGAGGTAGAAAACGATTCCATCTTTGGCTCCTGGTAAAGTCAGACCACGGACAAGCAACACTGCTAGCATCACGTATGGAAATGTAGCTGTGAAGTAAACCACCTAATGCGCAAAGATTGAAGTGACTGTGAGGACAAGTTAAGACAAAATCAGAAATTAGAGGTTATCTCTTGGACCTGGTCTCTACCTTTCCTGTAGTTTTAACTCCATTCCAGACACAGAAATAACACAACACCCAAGCAAGAAGCAGACATAGTGCCAGATCCCAACGAACACTTCCAATGTTATCGATCCCATCTGACAGCCCCAGGATTCTCCTCCTGCAACAGACTTTGTTCAGTAACGCACAGAAACCAAAGGATTAGAATAATAATCCACTTCCTGATACTTACTCCCAAAACTGAACCACTGAAGATGTTGTGTTTGTGTACAGGTGCAGAGAAGATGTGTCATTCTGACTGTGCTCAAAACAAGAATCTTCCAAGAAAGCAGAGATGTGGGGATAAGCGAACAAAATTAGCGTATACTTAAGAGATCCTGAAAGTCTGCTTTTTACCTGTGTTCCAGCTGTTGTTGCAGCTGACCCACGGCAGCTCAGCTCTGAAGGATGAAAACAGGTAGAGAAAAATCCAGGCCAAAATCACAATATAGTATACCCCAGTGTACAAGACGACCACTTGGCTTCCATATCCCAAGCCTGCAGAGAGATGGGGCGTCTTTACAATTCCAAGGTGTGAAATACATTGAATTAAAAAAATAAAAATAAACATTAGCGGACTTGAGAACCAGTTAGAGTGCTGTGTAAGAGCATTTATACTGTTTTTTACACATTTAATTTCACATCACCCACAATTTCTAGGATATTTGACAAAGATGTTTAGTATATGTGTGTCCATAATTATAAAGAAGAAAATTGAAAATTATAAATTTTGCATCTTTTCATAAATAAAAACTAAAAAGCATGTGTTCGCATTTTGAATTTCGACTCTACTAGCTTGATTCTGCATTCTCTTAAAATGTTTAGCACATACCTTCAAAAAGAGGGCATATTTTCCTCCAACATGTTATTCCACCCTGGCTGGTGAACTGACCCAAAGATGTTTCAAGGAAGAAGAGGGGGATGCCACAGGTGAACAAGAATATAATATAGGGAATGAAGAAAACCCCTTCAAAGCAAGTATGTTGGTGATTAGTACCTCAGTCAGCAAAATATATATATATATTCTACAACTTTTTTAGCACTTACATTATCAACAAAGTTTAATGCATATATTTTATTGAGAAATGCTCCACAGAAACCTATAAAATCTTGATTAAATCCAGTGTTGGGATCCTGAGGCTTTGCCCACCAGAGGGCGCCGAGGATCCTCTTCTGTTATATGTTTTCTGTTAGGGACTGGGGTTACTGTTGGGATCTGGAGATCTACCATCTGTCTCCAGCAGAGAGCGCTGTGGGTCTCCTGGGCTGGAGCCTCTAGCACACCTGAAGCTCATCAACCCATCAGGAGACCTTTCTACATAAGCAGCAGTCAGACCTTCCTTCAACGCCGCAGTGTTGACCAAGTTTGGTTAGCAAACTCAAGCCTCTGTTTATCTACTGAATTCCAGTGGGCTCTATAGAGAAACTGGATTCTAACCTGCCTCTGTCTTCTTTGCTCACAGAAAGCCTGACTGAAGTCTGAAGCTCTGGATGAGCTTCACCTGGAAACCTGCCTGCCTGCCCTAGGAAGCTAAACCTGAAGATCTCAGTCTGGATTCCTCCTTCAGCTCTCAGGGAAGAGCTAGGAAACTGAACCCAAGTCTGAGACTCTCTAGTCAGAAGCTAGACGCTGCTGCTGCCGAGTTCTCTGCTACTTTCACATTCTCTGGACCCAACCGGTTTCCCCTCTCAAGGATCAGTCAGAACCTCTTCAAGGTATCATCAGAATTCAACTTCTTTTGTCAAACCATCTAACTGCCTGGCTAACCAAACTCTCACCTCTTTAGATATCTGTGAAACCAGTCCCGGACCTGCACCAGAACCAGTCCTCATTAATGCTGTGTATTTTCCTTAATAAACATTGTTAAATTTTCCTCTGTCTCCAGTTTAGTGTTCTTCAGGTGGGTTAAATTCCTTAGCCAATCATGACATCCAGAAGTAATGGGGCCTCCATGCAATAGAAATTGGCCAGGTTTGATGTAACCTTGCTTTTTTTTTAGCAGCATTGGCTTTAATTTACAGCCTTTCATAAAATAGTTTAAGATATTCAGCAAAGTCACTGATCAGGAACGATTTACTGAATGCTCTGTGGTTACAGCATACATCACCACAATATAGTGCTCTTATTAAAAACATACAAAGATGGTCTGATTGGTAGACACTACGAAAACAGTTTTGGGAAAGAAGGGCTGTTTTTTAATGATGTCAGTCATTTGAACATGTCAGCCAACGATGTGTTTCAAAAAGAACAAATGCAGTAGAACAATTGAAAGAGAACATCAATGTTCTCTGCTATGTTCTCTCCTGCTTCATAGCTACTTGCCGACTCGGCTCTGTAACCACTTTTCATTGTATTTTTGAGACATAACACTGGCAAAAATTCAACTCCTAATATTAATCACATAAATCCAGTTGCTGTATGTTTTATTTTATACCAAAAATTTCAGAAAGTTGATCCAAGATGTACAGCTATTTTCGACAAAACAATTACCTCCTCCATTTTTGTAGCAAAGGTAGGGAAATCTCCAAACGTTTCCAAGACCCACAATGTGTCCAGCCACTGCCAAGATAAACTCCATTTTCGTAGCCCACTGGTCCCTCACGTGAGTTTTTGGCTCAGTTCTTTCAATCTGTGTTTTATTTTTCTCTTGGGTGAATTCTTTTTGGTCCATTTTAACCTTAATCAAGATCAAATGAGCACAGGTTCTACAATATTAGACACAGCAATTACCAGTTAAATACAGATAACAAACTCAACAGTTTGTAATGCATTAACATTCAGTTTAGCATTTTTTAAGAGTAGTCAAAATCAAAAATAAACCAACGACCCAAAAGAAAATGGACAGTTAGTTTACTATTTGTGTTATTAATTGCATTTTATTCCTCTTCTGTTCTTTAGAGAATGTAGCTAGTATACTAAGAAGAAAAAAAAAAAAGAAAAGCCAGTATGTGTTATATAACTGAACTTTAGAGGTCTAAATCAACTTACTGTAGAGCTACAAACATGATCTATATGTACAGTACATCATATTTGAGTTGTTTGTTATATTTGTATCCATTAGTTTTTTTTTTTTTTTTTTTTTTTTATTGTCAGTTAATATCTTTATAAAAAAAAAAACTATGTGTCTTACTTTGAGTGGAAGAAGTCCTTTCCTGTCTCTTCAGAAGATCGAATGCCTGCTACTGTATAAGACCTGGGCTATGCAAGGTTTTTGAAGGGAGTGGCCACTGAGACAAACACAACCTATTTTCTAAGAACCAATAGAAACTAGAGTTACATTTACAGTGGTCTGTGACTGTTTTGTCTAGATAAAGAAGATAATCACCTCAGGCACTGTGCAGGGCTTCAAATTTATCTCAGGGGCTACAGGCCTTAGATGTAGCACATTTGTTCCCCATCATGCAATTCTTTAAAATACAAGGAACTGAGTCTATTTGCACTTTCTTGTTAGTTGGTTGTTAGACTTTGTTTCACTTTGACTAAAGATTTGTAAAGTTAGCTCCGTACTTTCCTAAGGAAGATACATTTTAATTAAATACATGTGTCAAAAGACTGAACCTGAAAGCTTTCTGAGAAGTATTTCCCTTTATTTTTTTGTGTTGCACAGTATATCCAGGTATTTAGAGCAATACTAGGAATTTTTCCTTGAAATTCATGCAGAGATGAAACAATCTAATTACAAGATATACAGTTCCAAAAAAATGACAGAAATAACTTTTAGGAAAGTCTTAAAGCTACAAAATCCCTTTAAATGGTTGTATGATGACAAAACATTTGCATCTCTATCTTAATGGTATATATATATATGTTTAATTTCTTAAGCTTGGCAAACAAATAATGCTTTTTATGGAGTACTGATGCGTGAATGATATTAAAAATGCCATTTTATTCTGATTGCTAATAGAATAATATATTTGTGCTGAAATAAACTATTTTAAGGATTATTATAATATTGCCCAGTTGTGTTCCCTTTATCTTGGCTAAAATATCTTTAAAAAGATATCAACATATATTAAATTAAGGGAATTATGCAAAGTCTTTATACCCTGCTGTGGTTCATAATATGATAACAATAAAACATTAAAGACAGATTTTTTTTTTTTTTTTTGTTTATTGGCGTTTATTGCATTTTATCAATTATTTCAACTGCAAAGTTTTTCATGTTAAGAAAGCTTACAAAAAATTACACTCTTTTCTAGAAGTTTTTATACCATAACAAGTGGTTGTTTCTCATTTCCAAAACTACATCCCCTTAATGTTAAAATAGAATAAAAAAAATAGAATTATATCTAGAATTATATCTAGAAATAGAAATATTAGTGCCAATTTTTTTTTGTCACTGAACTTCAGATTTGAACAATTAAAGACATACTTTCTGTTTACCACTAGAGGGCAGTATTTCACATAACCTTTGACATTTGGGCCATGGGAACCTGTGACTATCTCCAGCATTTACTGGGCAAGATTTATGCCTTGGTTTATTCACCAGCCCATTAGGGCAACAGAGAGACACATGGGACAAATAACAGAGAATACACACTCATTCTGTGCTTAAGAATAATGTAGATTGACCATTTATGTCATCAGTAATTCTTTTAGACTGCAGGAGGAAGAGTATCAGAGTAGAAACCAATTATAGAAAAAAAACTCATGTTATAAGATTCAAACCAAGGACCTTGCTACTAGTTAATGGTTTGACTGCTACACAGAGATGGGTAGTATCAAGTTAAATTTACTTTAGTAATTTTTGAAAAACAAAGCACTTTGAGGAGTAGTTTTGCAGCATTGTACTTTTTAGTTTTACTAGAGTAAATATATGGTTAAGTACTCTTACTTGAGTAAAATTCCTTGCCACTCCATCTATTGTGTGTAACTTCATTTAATCAAAACAAGGCTTATTGGTTAAATGTTATTTTCCATCTGCTAAGTCTGTCCTCTCATTTGGAGGTTGAGTGTAATTTAACCTACGCGACTTAACCTAAACACTGTAACTATTGATTTTGGAAATTTTATAACTCAAAAAATGTTCTGTTGTTATGATTAGGGGTAGTCAGTAGATCAGTTAATCAGCATTTGAGCAGCCTTTTTACCAAACACCTTTTTACTCTTACTTCAGTAATTTCTTTACCGGTTACATTTTACTTTTAGTTTAGTAAAGATATGATGAAGTAGTGCTACTTTTACTTGAGTAAATTGTTTGGGTACTCTACCTACCTCTGCTAGTACACCATCAACCCACCCACCGCCATTTGCGTCATATAAATGATTAGCTTGAGTCTTTCTATGTTTTGATACTTATTGTACTTGAATAAGACACTGTTTCACTACTGTGTCTGCAATATTTTAATGTCTAACCCGTGATGAATATATTAACTGTAGCCTAGCATGGAGCCTATTTGAACATGCTTATTTTTTTTATGTTCCCCATGCAATAATAAGTAATAAATATACATTTTTGCATATGGGGTCACCTTAACGATTTGGGATTTCATTTTAGATTTTGTTCCCTTTTGATACAATTGAATTCTGATTTATTAACATTAGTTATAGTCAGTTTTGTGTGTGATAGCTAATAGAAATATCCCAAAAAAGTTTAAAAAACAGAAATATTATAATATAAAATATAAAGATTTTGTCTAATTTTCACAAATAAAGTAGATATGAAGACAGGCAGCCAGGCTGGTTAGTTGGATCATTTTCCTGTATTCAAGGGAAAATCCATCTATCTCAAATATTTTACGGCCTCTTACATATGTTCTTAAAAGACTGTCAAGAGCTGAGAGGAAAATGTTTGACTTTCTATGGCTTTCTTTAAAAAAAAAAAAACAGCTTTCCTTATGTCATAATTTCTGAGAAATCAGATTTGTTAAGTGCACTATCAATTACTAACTTACTGTTTGCCAGATTTAATTAACATATTCCTTGCGTGACCTGTCACTTTAGGTGGACAGACATGTCTTAGGAGGTTTGAAGCTCATGCTTATGTTTAGGGCTTGCGATATTGACCCTTCATGATGCTGTTTTACACTCACCGGCCACTTTATTAGGTACCCCATGCTAGTAACGGGTTGGACCCCCTTTTGCCTTCAGAACTGCCTCATTTCTTCGTGGCATAGATTCAACAAGGTGCTGGAAGCATTCCTCAGGGAGTTTGGTCCATATTGACATGATGGCATCACACAGTTGCCGCAGATTTGTCGGCTGCACATCCATGATGCGAATCTCCCGTTCCACCACATCCCAAAGATGCTCTATTGGATTGAGATCTGGTGACTGTGGAGGCCATTTGAATACAGTGAACTCATTGTCATGTTCAAGAAACCAGTCTGAGATGATTCCAGCTTTATGACATGGCGCATTATCCTGCTGAAAGTAGCCATCAGAAGTTGGGTACATTGTGGTCATAAAGGGATGGACATGGTCAGCAACAATACTCAGGTAGGCTGTGGCGTTGCAACCATGCTCAATTGGTACCAAGGGGCCCAAAGAGTGCCAAGAAAATATTCCCCACACCATGACACCACCACCACCAGCCTGAACCGTTGATACAAGGCAGGATGGATCCATGCTTTCATGTTGTAGACGCCAAATTCTGACCCTACCATCCGAATGTCACAGCAGAAATCGAGACTCATCAGACCAGGCAACGTTTTTCCAATCTTTTATTGTCCAATTTCGATGAGCTTGGGCAAATTGTAGCCTCAGTTTCCTGTTCTTAGCTGAAAGGAGTGGCACCCGGTGTGGTCTTCTGCTGCTGTAGCCCATCTGCCTCAAAGTTCGACGTACTGTGCGTTCAGAGATGCTCTTCTGCCCACCTTGGTTGTAACGGGTGGTTATTTGTGTCACTGTTGCCCTTCTATCAGCTCGAACCAGTCTGGCCATTCTCCTCTGACCTCTGGCATCAACAAGGCATTTCCGCCCACAGAACTGCCGCTCACTGGATGTTTGTTCTTTTTCGGACCATTCTCTGTAAACCCTAGAGATGGTTGTGCGTGAAAATCCCAGTAGATCAGCAGTTTCTGAAATACTCAGACCAGCCCTTCTGGCACCAACAATCATGCCACGTTCAAAGTCACTCAAATCACCTTTCTTCCCCATACTGATGCTCGCTTTGAACTGCAGGAGATTGTCTTGACCATGTCTACATGCCTTAATGCACTGAGTTGCCGCCATGTGATTGGCTGCCCAGAAATTAAGTGTTAACGAGCAGTTGGACAGGTGTACCTAATAAAGTGGCCGGTGAGTGTATTTTCTCAAAGAAACATCAACTGATTTGAAATACACCAGTGAGGACTTTATTTTCTAATTAGGTAACATCTAATGGTAATTAGTTGCATCAGATGTTAATGAGGAGTATAAAGATAAGGAGGAGTGAATACATTTGTATGTATTCATCAGTTTTTGAGAAGACATTTTGAAAATTCTATATCCTCTTAATTCTACTTACCAGTTGTGTGTTATTTATTATTGGTCTAATTGTCTCCCTTATTAATTTCCAGTAAAATCTATTGGAATTAGTTGTAATACTGTATGACAAAATGTGAAAACGTTCAAGGGCAAAATTACAGAGAATACATAACATGTCTTTTTGTACTTTGGTATACAATCATAAAACCTCATCACAACATTACTTGTGTAACTTAATATAACTTAGAAAAAAGATCTTGTCCTGTTGGCTTGGCACACAGCTACATTTCCGTGTACTTACGTAACTTTATGCGGTGCAGCTTTGAAAGACACTGCCAAAGATAATTCATTTACAACCCTGTAATGATTTGTCTTACATGTTTTTCCTGTGATCTTTGCAAGCCTCTCAGTCAGGGATTCACAAACAGACCTATTCTAAGAAGCAAGGCAAGCTGCTATAAAATGGACACGGCTGAAAGAAAGACAGAGAAACTTCCTGATCATCAGGCTTCAGAGGTTGTTAATAAGTAAGTACACCTATCATTTCATTCTCATCTACACTGTTATAGTGTTCTTGTTCTGTGGCCTATATGAGACATACAGCTTTGACAAGCTTACATCCCACATTTTATACATTTTTAACAACTCTGCGAAAATAGTGTTTACATGAACATCATTGATTGAAATCATTTTAGACACTTCCCATATAGCTGTGTAGGGCAGCCACGTGTCAGTAAAACATGTAAGCATTCATTTACTCATACACTGACTGCAATAATGATGCTCCCAAAACTT